ACAGACCGGCTCCCGCTCACTGGCTGAGCGAGGTGCGGGGGCAACGCCAAGGGATGCAATCCCGTTGCCGGGCCCGGTCCGGTCCGGTACGGGCGCGACACTGAGGGTTGCGATCCGTTGCCGGCCACGAAAAAAGACAAAAAAAAAAAAAAAGATGCTTCAAAACAGAAATAACATTACATTTTAAGTGAATATGAACACAAGGTAGAAGAGAAGCTCAGTTGGTGATTAGAATTTCTTGGTCTGAAGCTCAGAAGTCAGGTCAGAGAAAAAGTTTCACACAGCAGAGCAGCAGTAAACTGAATCAATGAAAATAGATGAGACTGCAAAGAAAGAAGAGAAAAACAGCAAGCAATCAAAAAAAAAAAAGGACTGTTTAAAGAGTGGTGGTCAAAATGCTGCAAATCTAGTAGGATAAATATTGAGAAGGCCAACATTTTTGACTTATAAAAGAACAGTTTCAGCGGAGTGGAGCATATAGAAACCAAAACACAAAGCATTAAGGGGAGGGAAACAAAGTAGACAACTCTTTCAAGAAATTCACCAGTAAAGGGGAATGATAACAAGGGGTTACAGGACAGAGGAAAATTCCTTTAGAATAAGAAGATGCTACCATGGTTTTAGGCAAAGAAAGTGATATAGTGGAAGTACAGAATGAAGACTCCAAAAGAGGAAAGGGTAATTAATAAAACAAGGTCACCCAGCAAGGAGAAAAGAATCAGAGAGAAGAACCTCAGAGGTGGGGAGGATCAATTTTCTTCTCAGAAAGGAAAAACTGGAGTAGAGAATTGCTGTTGATGAACAGAAAGAGGAGAGAACCCTGGAACCCCTGAAGAATCATTTTTGTCTCAGACACCAACACTACAAGCCTTGGACATCATCTGTACTCATCTCTCTCCTTCATTCCTCAAGTCTAGGCAACCCCAAAAGGGCTGCCAATTTTCCCCTATTGAAATATTTTAGATGTATCCCATATCCTTCTAGTACTGACTCCGCTCAAGTCTAAGTCTTAATTACTATTGCAATAGACTCCTACATCCAAACGTTGCCTCTAGTCTCTTCCAGCCATAATCGCATAAACAGATTTCATCACATCAATTCTCAGCTAAAATTCTTCACAGGGTCCCAACTCCTATCACATCAGTACCATATGCCTCAGTCTGGATATTTCTAGGCCCTATTGCCTGACTATACTCATCCTACAAGCAATCGCCAACAAGTACCCTCTGAAAAAGCCATGCTCATTTAATTCTCCACATTGAAATTACCCTTCTATACCTAACAAACCCAACTCAGCCAAGGCCAATTCAAGCCCCACTTCTTCCCTGAAGCCTCACCTGCTCTAGGTTTCATTCATGTCTCCACGCAATACCTTCACCACTTAAACATCCATAGCACAGAACTTAAAGAGTATCAACAGTATAATATGTATGTCAGACCATCCTGGAGCCATGCTAAGAACTTTGCAGATCCCCAAATTCATGAATATAACTGTAGTATAAACTCTCCATAAAAATATCCAAGTGAGAAAGAGTAGAAAACAAACAACTGCTGTAAATCAGCCCAGCGAGAAAACCAGGAGTTCCTTCAGACCCAGGCAAAGTGTCAGAGACCTTCAGAATTCACTAAAGAAAGCCAAGAGTACTCAGATAATTCTATAATTTCAAGGGTTTCAGTCTTGACTCCAATGATCTCAAGTGCCATGAAAGTTGACCTATGTCTTCTATGACATCTCTCTTTACTACAAGGCTATGAAGACCACATGAGACAATGCAGACCAATACACTTCATAAACTGTAAGTTATTGCCAATTTATTAAGGGACCAACCTTCCTTCAATATTTTATCAAACACCTACTATGTACAAAGCACACAGGCTTTGTACACTGCGGGAAATTAAAAGGTATCAATTCAGTTAAATATAAAAGCACCAAGTCAGGATTATAAACTGTAATGGCAATAATTTCACATCACTGTGTGCAGAGAAAACAACTGAAGAGCACATGATGGTAAAGTGAAGAGGCTGCTCGTTTTATGACAGGAGGCAAACAGTCTGCTTAGAGCTGTATATACAAAACAACAGAAAACATAACTTTGATTTATGCGTTTTTCTCTAATTCTAGACAGGGGGTTTACTACCCTAATAACTACCCTTACCCACTGCCAAGAGAATCTTATTCTATCATAATATTACAGACAAAATAAAAGACAAATAGCATTTGCTAAGGATTTTCTAAAATTTCCAGCCCTGAGCATAGGATCCTGCCTGCTGCACTGATGAAGTTTAATCAACTGTGAACAGTCTAAAATGTCAATACTATATGACTACACAGAAGATTTTTTCTTTTTTTGTGTGTGGCAGCTGGCCAGTATGGGGATCCAAACCTGCCACCTTGGTATTATAAGGCTGCACTCTAACCAACTGAGCTAATCGGCCAGCCCAAGAATTGTTCGTTCGTATTTACATCTTTCCCAAGCTACATTGTTTAGCTAAATTTGCATTCTGAGATTGACCTCACTTTTTAAGGTTTCAGTTTAAAAATACCAAAGGCAAAAATAAAAGCAACAGATTTCAACCACAATCTTAACCAAAGGCCTAAAGAATATTTTAGATACTCGGTTCTTCAAGGCTATAAAGTCGGAGCAACTCAGATTTTCTCCCTGAAAAAAATTTTTCCACATTTATACAAGTTTGCTAACTCCCATTTTAGATGCATAACTAACACTGTCAATTGTTTTTAACAAAAACAATACTCCACTAACATTTCTTTGATGAAAATCAGACAGGTTTACATTTGTATTGGTATGTTTCTAGAGAAACATCTCCATCCTCAGATCTAAATATATGTGAAAACAAAGAAAAAACTACATATACGTAAAATAAATTTCAATATGAACCCAAGAAAAAGGATTTGTCTGAGCTGCCAATAGGTTTTCAAAACAGCCTATCCACCCTAATATATATCTAGGACAATACAGACTCAAGATAACCAAAATAAATTTTTAAAATCTGCATCTGCCAAGCTAAGAAAGGGAAGGAGTGCTAAAGCATATTTAAGATATGAATCAACAGAAATAGAAGTGACACACCCACATTCTCCCTCTGTAACTTTCAGGGACAGCAGGGATATACAATCACCACATACCATAAAAATATTCTTATAGGAAACTTTACATAGTATTTCTGAGGCGTTCGTTGTCCCTTACCCACCCCTCAAAAAAAATTCCTCTTTGGTGACATTAGTGGTGCCCATAACAATGTGTCTAGGCAGAAATAAAATCAGAACCAAATATTTAAAGCTGAAAGGAATCTTTTAGCAATCAAGTACTTTCAGGTTTTAAAGCTGATGAAACTGAGGCTAAGAAGTCAACTGATCATTTAACTAACTAAAGAATTCAAGAAATTTAAGAAATACTGTAATAAGTTAAAATGAAAAAGAACGTTATCATTTACTGCCTTCTAACAATTACATGGCACTACTGAAAACAGCAACACAAATTAGTTTTTCTCCATTTCTATACACATGCACACACAAACACACATATATGTACACACACTTCAAAATGTAAAACTAGAAAAGGCTCAAGAGCCTACTCTGGGGGACTGGCCAGTTAGCTCACTTGGGAGAGCGTGGGGCTGATAACACCTAGGTCAAGAGTTTGGATCCCTGTACTGGCCAGCCTCCAAGAAAAAAAGAGCCTATTCTGATGGTGGCAGTTATCAAAAGCACAGGATGCTATACCTTCACAATAGGAAGTTCAAAAAATTAATACTAATTTAAATTGCGAATGATGTCCAAGAAAGCCTTCTCATCTTAGTCACTTTCAATCTGTGCTCAAATGCACTTCAACCTGCAGCAAGTGTCACCCCCATCAACTAAAAAAAAATAAGCCATGTCTTACATGGAAACAGGACGCCTAGTAATACACCTAGTAATAAATTGGCTCACCTGCCCCCATGACTGATATAGGCCAAAACCCACCCTTAAAAAAAAAAATCAAATGTTTACCTCCATCTTGAAAAATTAAATCCAGTCTCAACCAAATGCCCTTAAAAATTTAACATTTAGACAGTCCTCAATGGACAGTTATTTGGGAAAAGCTGAAAAGAACCAAACTCACGGAAAAGAGATAAGTTCAAAAACCAAAGTAAAATTTCCCCAAAAAAGCTTATCATAAGTAATAGGCTTTCAGCTGTGAACTGATAAGCAACCAAAACCAAATTCGTTATACTTCCCTTTAAGTGGCCTGTATATATACATTTACGTATATATTTAAGTTGTACCAAAAACTGCTTACAAATGGCAATTCCTGTGAAGTAGATGATGATGAAGTTCCAGGTAATTCTAGCATGTTTCCTAATGTACTGGTACTGGAGTCTGGATCATCCTGAAAAGATAAATTTATTGAATTTAATTGCTCTTCTATAGTAACGTTTGTATCTCCTAGTGAAAAGGGGACTGGGAGAAGGGCTGCTTTTTCATTGCTGCCGTCCACTTCATTTCCTTGCTTATTTTTCTGTGTTTCAGTTTGAGGAGCTAATGGCAAGAATGGCGATTTGACTACACCGTGTCTACTCTCTGGTGTGCTGTCTTGTTCACTTCCCATGGCCACTTCTACACCATTCTCTGTTTTAGGCTCATAATTGCAGGTGGCATTGGTCTGAGTTTCCTCAAAGATCTCCTCTATACTCTCATCCTCTGTGACTGGCTGTTCTGGGTCCATTTCAGAATCTACATCTGCATCGTCCACACAAGTAAAATTCTCAAAGTGCAGAAAGCCATTCTTGATAGTCTTTGTTACTTTTACCTGGAGTTCTGGGGAGTTATTACAAGAGGGTTCCTGTTTCATAGCAAGTGCTGCAGGACCACCAGGACACAAGGAAGTGCAAACAATTGGCGACTGAGCTCTTGAATCGCTTTTTTCAGGGTCTTGAAAGGATTCTGATCCATCAGCAGACCCATTTAAATACTCTACATTGATCATGGAGGCCAAATCCTGTAGTCTCCGCAGTGGAATGTAACAAGATGGTGAATCTTGTCCGTAAGCATTTTGGGATGTTCCACTGGCAGTCGATAACTGCATAGTACACCCATTAAGTGGCTCAGAAAAATTGGATTGACCATTACCGAAAGGGCTGTCCTTGTCTTCAGGGACATCTAAATTCACTGGATTGGAAAAGGGCAGCAGACAATTTCTTCTAGGTAGGTCACAGGTCTGATCCATCCTGGGCCGGCATCAACCTGGAATCCAAAAACACAGCAATTAATCTGAGATAACAGGCCATCTCACTCTTCTCTTCAAAATGGCAGCCACTTCTCAAGGCCTAGTGGCCTCTATGCCTTTCTGCTGCACTTCCATGGGCGGAAAAAGTTCCTCCAACTGACGCTGGAAAAATGGCCTCGGTAAGCCTCCGCAAACTCCATCTTTCCGAAGCTGGGCAGATCCTGCCACAGGGAAACAGCCCGTCCCTTTTTTCCTGCACTACAGACTGGTGGACACTTGGGCTGAATTAAAATCATTTTGGCAGTCAAAATTCCCAAATCTCCAAATTTCAAACAGGAATCGTCCTCCTCCTCCCCAGCCCGGGGTCCAGCGGCCGGCTCTCTCGAAGGGAAGGAGCTTCGAGGTTCGAGGGGGGCTCCAGGACGCTGCACAAAAAAGTACCCCCCCTTCCTGGCTTGCTCGGGCGCAGCGGTCACAATAGCGCTGCACCCTGCGCCCAGCCGGCGCCGGAGCCTTTGCAGCGAACGTGCCCAGGCCGCAGGCCAGTCGGCCGAAGCGGGTGCACTCCGGAGCTCGCCTTCCTGAATGCAGGCCTGCTCGGTCCGCAGCTGCGGGGCTCAGAGGCCGGGACGCGGCAGGGGGAGAAACGGAGGCGGCCGGCGAAGCCAAGGCAGGGCAGCAGCAGCTGCTACAGCTTGACAAACATGGCTGCTGCCGACGCCGCCGCCGCCTGCCCGGGCCGCACTCCTTCCCGCAGCCGCAGCAGCACCTCCCGGCAGAGCCGATTGCACTCATCAATATTCAGCAGCAAGCAAAGTTTGCTGCGGGAGGGCAGCCGGCCCCGCGCCCCCCAGCCGGCTACCTGAGGGGAGCAGGAGGCCGAGGTGCGCGCGGGCAGCCGGCGGGGCACGGGCCGCGCCGGGAGGAAGTTCGCTGCAGCCCGGCCATCTAGGCCTGAGCCCGGCTGGTAGTGATGGAGGAGGGGGAGGGGGCCCGCGGATGCAGCGCCGCCGGCCACCAACCCCGCGCCGCGCCCGGCCCTCTCCCGAGCCCCTCACCTCACGGCCACCACCATCTTCCCCGCCCGGCCGCCTCCTCCCTCCTCCTCGCGCCTGCCCGCCGCCCACCCCAGCGCACTAGTTACCGTGCCCCGCGCCCCCTCCCGGGCCAGCTGGGGGGAGGGGGTGACCCTCATTACACTGGGGCGGGAGCGGAGCCGTGGGGAGAGAGAGGAGCCGCTCGCCGCACCCCCCTCCCCCCGCGTCTCTCTTCAGGGGAGAAGGCAGCGAGCTCGACCTGCCCCGGCCTATTCTGCCGCCTCCTCCTCCTCACACCCCCACCGCGCGCGCCCCCGCGGCGGCGCGTGCGACCGAGCGCCTCGCGCGTAATAACTTCGTATAGCATACATTATACGAAGTTCTCCCTCGCCTCACTCTTCGGGGTTCAGGGCGGGTGAAGTCGAGCTCGCGAGCGCGCCGCCCAATCAGCGGAGCTGCCGCTGCCGCCCCCTCCCCTCCCCCTGCGCGCCCGCTCACGGCCGAGGCCTACGGGCCGACCGGGCTGCACGGGCGGGGCCTGAGGCGGGCTCCCCAGAGGCCTCGCGCGCCTCCCCGGAGTGTCCGGGCCTGCGGGCGTCGTGGGTGGCATTCCGATCCCCTCACCTACCTCGGGGCTGTGCGCTGGCCCCAGGCAGCACACGGCTCCAGCACCCTACCCGTCTCGAACCCCAACCCCGGTGGCACCTGGCCCAGCTGAGGCCCGTCTGACCGCCCCGCCAGTCCCGCTCTGGTCCGCGTCAGTCCCGGCCTCCATCTTAGGTTACAGCCCGGGCTCCCCATCCACTGGGCACCTGCCCTCAGCCCGCTCGGCTCGGCCCGAGGCCAAGGCAACCCCCCCCTCCTACCGCAGGGCTCACCTGGGGGCTTGGGCTGGGGTCTTCGAGGCCTCAGACCCCAAGCAGTCACGGCCGCAGGTGAACCCCCTGCCCAGCCGCACCCCAAGCCCACACCACCACCACTACAGACCAAGCTGAGCAGGAAACAAAATGGAGGCAGCAGCTCGGGTCTGTCTCCCCGAGCCAAGCCTATGCAGCCCCGGGGCTCCCTCCTGCCGCAGG